TTTTTTTTTTTTTTGCATGTGTTCCTTTTCTATCGAGGATATATCACTCTCCACCAGGCACGGTAGCTCGTTCTTGTAATTGCAATGCTTAGGGAGGCAGAGGCAGGAGGATTGCTTGAGCTCACAGGTTCAAGACCAGCCTAAGCAACATGGCAAGACCTCATCTCTACAATAAATCAAAAAATTAGTCAGGTGTGGTGGTGTGCACTTATAGTTCCAGCTACTTGGCAGGCTGAGGCAGAAGGATCACCTGAGCCCAGTAGGTCAAGGCTGTGGTGGCCATGAGCTTGCCACTGCGCTCCAGCCTGGGCGACAGACTGCTACTCCAACTCAAAAAAAGGATATTACTCTTTGTTCTATTGTTGCAGATCTCTTTTCACAAGCTGTGATATTTACCTTTAAATCTCTGTGTCAGCCGGCCTCGGTGGCTCAGCACTTTGGGAGCCCGAGGTGAGTGGATTGCATGAGCCTGAGGGTTCGAGACCTACCTGGGCAACTTGACAAGACCTCATCTCTACAATAAATTGAAAAAACTAGCCAGGTGTGGTAGCGCGCGCCTGTAGTTCCAGCTACTTGGAAGGCTGAGGCGGAAGGATCGCCGGAGCCCAGCAGGTCGAGGCTGCGGTGGACAGGAGCGGCCACTGCACTCCAGTCTGGGCGACAGAGTGAGACTCCAACTCAAAAATAAATAAATAAATAAATAAATCTCTGTGTCGCTGGACTCAGTAGCTCAGCCTGTAATCCCAGCACTTTGGGAGGCCGAGGTGAGTGGATTGCCTGAGCCTGCGGGTTCGAGACCCACCTGGGCAACTTGGCGAGACCTCATCTGTACAATACATCAAAAAATTAGCCGGACATGGTAGCGCACCTGTAGTTCCAGCTACACGAAGGCTGAGGTGGAAGGATCGCCAGAGCCCAGCAAGTCGAGGCTGCAGTGGCCGGGAGCAGCCACTGCACTCCAGTATGGGTCACAGAGTGAGACTCCAACTCAAAAAAAAATTTAAATAAATAAATAAATAAATATCTCTGTCACATTTTTGGTATTTTTGGGTTTTTTTTTTACACTATCTTATTTTTGAGCCGCAGCCTTGACTTGCTAGACTCAGATGATCCTTCTGCCTCAGCCTTTCAAGTAACCGGTACCATAGGCACTCACCACCATACCTGGCTAATTTTTTATTTATTGTAGAGACGATGTCTCGCCAAGTTGACCAGGCTGGTCTCAAACCTCTGGGCTCAGGCAGTCCTCTCACCTACACCTCCTTAAGTGCTGGGATTATAGGTGTGAGCCACCTTACCTGGCTACACTACCTTTTCTTCCCTTATATATATAGATTATATTCCAGTATGTAGATTAATTTCTCTTCTTAAATTGGCCTAACAATTATTACACCTAACTACCTTTATAAAAATGTATAGCTTAAAACCTTTTACACTATAACAAGGAAGTATCTAGGAGATATTGCCACAGAAGCATGAGGAGATAGAGATGCTATTGACAGTGGTGGTTTTGCCTAGGTGCCCTTCTCTAGAGTGGCCTACAGTACTGTCCTCTAGAGTTGACGTGAATGAGATACTATGGTTTTACAAAGAGAATCCCAGAAACTTAGCTGGGGCCATTGATTAAAGAACACATCAGCCGGGCTTGGTGGCTCAGCCTGTAATCCTGCGCCTTTGGGAGGCTGAGGTGAGTGGATTGCCTGAGCCCGCGGGTTCGAGACCCACCTGGGCAGGCGAGACCTCATCTCTACAATAAATCAAAAATTAGCCAGGCGTGGTAGCGCGTGCCTGTAATTCCGGCTACTTGGAAGGCTGAGGTGGAAGGATCGCCAGAGCCCAGCAGGTCGAGGCTGCGGTGGCCAGGAGCGGCCACTGCACTCCAGTCTGGGCGACAGAGTGAGACTCCAACTCAAAAAAACACATCATTAGCTGCCGTGTTACCAGTGATGTTTTGTATTCCTTATTGAAGAAAACATTTTTGGTTTATTTGTTTAGGATTTAGAAGTAGTTTTGGTGGTACCTGCATGATCAATGTTTGTATACCTGACCCTGAATTGTACCCCACAATTTTATAATAAATAAATGAATTTTTAAAATAAAAATTAAAAAAAATTTTAAAAAACAAACAAAAAAAGAAGTAGTTTTGATGTGTACTTTAAAAGTCAGTTTGATTGTTAACTAGAAAATGGTAAATAAATGACTTGCTGCTATTGCTTTTGAAGGAAATAATTCAGAAAATATATTTTCTGAGAAGTTCAAGGAAGTCAATATTCCTGCTCCTCGCTCTGTTGGCAGTATTAAAATCAAGTTTACCCCTCGAGTATTCCCAACAGCTCTCCGTGAATCACAAGTAGCAGAAGAGGAGGAGGTAGATATATTTACCTTAGTTACAACTACTACAAATGAAACTGCTTTATTTTTACTTCATCTACTGAAATTAGTACTGGTTCTGAATTTTTTATATATTCATTATGTTAAAAATATTTCATGAGTATATTTTAGCATTTGCTTATGAGAAAATATATTTTGCAAATTTTTTTGGCTCTAGGATACTAATGAGAGAACACAGATTTAGAATATGTACAGTATTATTGTTTATTCCAAAAGGTACACTGTTGTACTTGCCATTTATTTTATCAAATACATCATTTTCTATAATACATTTATAAACTTATGTTTATAAACATAAGTATGTCGATATGTTTTTTGGAAAGAAGAGATTTGGGAATTAATATAGTATTACAATTAATAACAGATATCATAACAGATATTTCTAATGTGATACTTTAGAATAAATATCTTTCATTCATTTATAAATTCTTGAGTCCTGGATTTCAAATATTGTATCTTTAGTTATATAAGCACTAAGAACTACATTTTTTTTTTCCTGCAAGGTTTGAATTGTTGTCTCTTTCAATTGAAAAATTGTCACCCAGATGCAGGGGCTCACGCCTGTAATCCCAGCACTTTGGGAGGCTTAGATGAAAGGATCGCTTGAGCCCAGGAGTTTGAGACCAGCCTGAGCAACATAATACGACCTTATTTCCAAAGGAAAAAAAAAAGCTGGGTGTGGTGGCTCATGCCTGTAATGCCAGTGCTTTGGGAGGTGGAGGCAAGAGGATTGCCTGAGCCTGCAGGTTCCAGATCAGCCTGGGCAACAATCTGAGACCTTGTCTTACGATAAATCAAAATGAGCCAGGTGTGGTAGTGCGCGCCTGTAGTTCCAGCTACTCGGAAGGCTGAGGCGGAAGGATCGCGGAGCCCAGTAGGTAGAGGCTGCGGTGGCCGGGAACAGCCACTGCACTCCAGTCTGGGTGACAGAGTGAGACTCCAACTCAAAAAAATTAAAAATTAAAAAATTAAAATAAAATATAAATGAATAAATCAAAAAAAGTAGCTGGGTGTGGTGGCGCACACCTATAATAAAAGCACTTTGGGGGTGGAGGCAAGAGGATTGCCTGAGCCTGCAGGTTCCGGATCAGCCTGGGCAACAGTGCGAGACCTCATCTCTACAATAAATCAAAAAAAGTAGCTGGGTGTGGTGGTACACTCCTGTAGTTCCAGCTACTTGGAAGACTGAGGCAGAAGAATTGCCTAAGCCCAGCAGGCTGAGGCTGTGGTGACTGTGAGCATGCCACTGCACTCCAGCCTGGGTGGCAAAGTGAGACTCTTCCTACAAAAAAAAAAAATTATCCGATCATGGTGTTATGCCTATAGCTCCTGCGACTTGGGAGGCTGAGATAAGAGAATCACTTGAACCCAGGATGTCAAGGCTGCAGTGAGCTATGATTGTGCCAGGCATGGTGGCTCAAGTTTGTAATCCTAGCACTTTGGGAGGCCAAGGTGAGAGGATTGCCTGAGCCCAGGGGTTCAAGACCAGCCCGGGCAGCTTGGTGAGACGTCGTCTCTACAATAAATCAAAAAGTTATCCGGACATGGTGGCACATGCCTATAGTTCCAGCTACTTGGAAAGACTGAGGCAGAAGGATCACCTGAGCTCAGCAGGTCCAGACTGCGGTAGCCAAGAGCATGCCATTGCTTTCCAGCTTAGGCAACAGAATGAGACTCTGACTCAATAATAATAATAATAATAATAATAAAATTTAAACAATTTTAAAAATCACCCAGGCATGGTGGTGTGTACCTATAGTCCCAACTACTCAGGAGGCTAAGGCAGAAGGATCATCTAAGCCCAGGAGGTCAAGGCTGTGGTGAGTTGTGATTGTGCCACTGCATTCCAGCCTGGGTAATAGTTTGAGTTACCAACTAAAAAAAAGTTTGAAAATTTGTGGAAATAACTGAAGATCCTTAAAACATAATGATAATATATAAATCTTAACTTATTTCTTTTTGTTAAACAATATATTATTTTTATATTTTATTTCTAAAATTATTTCTATAATTATACAGTTATAATTATTTAAAAATCATTTGTATATCATTCTTTCCTTTGCAGTGACATGCTCATGGCCACTGCAGCCTGGATCAGCTGACTTAGACGATCCTTCTGCCTCAGCCTTCCAAGTAGCTGGAACTACAGGCGCGCACTCTGCTATGTCTAGCTAATTTTGTTTATTTATTGTAGAGACAAAGTCTCACAATATTGCCCAGGATGTTCTTGAACTTGGACTCAGGCAGTCCTCTGGCCTCTCCCTCCCAAAGTGCTGGGATTATAGGCGTGAGCCACTGCACCAGGCATCCTTTTTTTTTTTTTTTTAAGAGTTGGGGGTCTTCCTCTGTCACCCAGGCTGGAGTACAGTGGTGCAATCATGGTTCACTCCAGTCTGGAATCCCTGCGCTCAAGTGATCCTTCTACCCGTATATTTTTCAATATAGAAAAATAGGACCCAACACAATGGCTCACACCTGTAATCCCCACCCTTTGGGAGGCTGAGGTGGGAGGATTGCTTGAGACCAGGAGTTCAAGACCAGCCTGGGCAACAGAGCAAGACATTGGTCCTACAAAAAAAAAATTATCCGGGCATGGTGGTATGCCTATAGCCCCTGCTACTTGGGAGGCTGAGATAAGAGAATCACTTGAACCCCGGATGTCAAGGCTGCATGAGCTATGATTGTGCCAGTGTGCTCTTGCCTGGGCAACAGAGCAAGACTCTGTTCCCTAAAAGTAAAAAATATTGTAAGTAAGAAAAGTAAAATAATAATCACATGAATTTCCAGGAGGCATGAAATTTGGACTAGAAACTTTCATCTATTTTATCTCAACCAGGTAGTGAGATTTTTTAAAAAGTTTAAAATGTATAAATACTAGAAATTTAAAATTGTCTTCATCAACTAGTGCATTAATCTGCTCTGGCTGCTATAAACAAAATGCCAGAGACTGAGCGACTTAAACAACAGATATTGGCCAGTCATGATGGCTTAAGCCTATAATCCCAGCACTTTAGGAGGCCAAGGCAAGAGGATTGCCTGGCTCGGGGGTGTTCAAAAACCAGCCTGGGCAAGATGGTGAGACCTTGCCTCTACAATAAATTAAAAAAAAAAATTAGCTGGGCGTGGTAGCATGTGCCTGTAGTTCTGGCTACATGGAAGGCTGAGGCAGAAGGATCGCCAGAGCCCAGCAGGTTGACACTGGGGTGGCCGTGAGTGTGCCACTGCACTCCAATCTGGGCAACAGAGTGAGACTCTGACTCAAACATAAGAAAACAAACAAACAAACAAAAAAACCAGACATTCATTTATTACAGTTCTGGTGGCTTCGAAGTCCAAGATAAGGGTGTCAGCATGGTTGGGCTCCTAGTGGGGGCTCTCATCCTCACTTGCAGACAATCATTGTGTCCACATGGTGGGTGGGGGAGCTCTGATCTCTTTCTCTTCTTATAAGGATACTAATCCCATTATTAAGGTTCTACCCTCATGATCTCATCTAAACCTAATTTCTTCTTTGAGGCCCCACCTCCAAATACTCATTCACATTAATGGCTAGGGCTTCAGTATATGAATTTGGGAAGGTTACAGGGGACACAAACATTCAGTCCAAAATAGATAACATTTCCATCCACTGGAAGAAGATGGAAAATCTAAAAGCAAATGTCAGTAAAAACAAGATCTTTGTGTACTTTATAAGACTTCTTTCTCACTTCAGTGGCTACACAAACAAGCTGAGGCACAAAGAGCAATGAATACTGATATTCCTGAACTTTATGACTTAAAAGAAGAAGAAAAGAACCCAGAATGGTTGAAGGACAAAGGAAAGTAAGTTGCTTGAACTCTGGCCATGAGATCTATAATGTTTGTAGATATTAGTAGTTATCACAGACAGAGCATAATGGCTCATGCCTGTCATTTCATCACTTTGGGAGACTAAGGTGGAAGGATTGCTTGAAGCCAGGAATTCAAACCAGCTTGGTCAACAAAGTGAGACCTTGTCTCTACAAAAATAATTAAAAATAAAATTAGCCGAGTGTGGTGGTGTGTGTTTCTAGTCCCAGCTACTTGGCAAGCTGAGACAGAAGGATTACTTGAGCCCAGGAGTTAGAGGCTGCAGTGAGCTATGATTGTGCCACTGGACTCCAGCCTGGGCAACAGAGTGACACCCTGTCTCTTTGAAAAAAAAAGTAGTTCCATACTCTAGATATTTGGACCCATGTGTTTGTGTGTGTTGTTGGAGAAAAATAATCCAAATAAACAAGTAGACAGGGCCTTCATATTTTAAAAGTCAGATAATATAACAATTAGCCAGGTGTGGTGGCTTGTGCCTATAAACCCAGCACTTTGGGAGGCAGAGGTGAGAGGATTGCCTGAACTCAGGGGTTTGAGACCAGCTTGGGCAACTTGGCGAGACCTCACTCTACAATAAATAAATGAAAAAAATTAGCCAGGCTTGGTGGCACTCACCTGTAGTTCTGAAATAGGGACTGAGCGCTTAATTCACAGACACTGACACCAAATGTACAAGTTATAAAAAGGAGAGGTTTATTAGCCAAGAGCCAGCCGGCAGCCACTTGCTGCTGGACATGCAAGTCCCACGGCAAGGTCCCCCATTTGCTGCAGGGGCTTTCTTAAATGGGGCAAAACCACATTGGGACTTTCCAAGTGGGCCAAACCGCAATGTCCTGGAGGCCTAGGTACTTTTCAAGTAATGCTAGTGGGGTTCACAGAAGCGAAAAAAAAGCTGTTAAACAGTTTAACCTAGCCAGCAGGTACTGTTGCCAGTTTCCAGGAAGGGAACCTTAATTGTGCAAAGGCTGAGTACATGCTTAACTGTGCAAAGGCTGAGTTTATGCTTAGTCTAATTTTTGACATTGTAGATGTCTTATTAAGCCTCCTTCCACATTCTCCCCTTTCAGTTGGAGTCAAATCATTGGCTCTTTATACAGGGGATTATATTGAGTTCTGAGGACCATTAATTTTATTGATGACATACTATTTTTAACATAACCAAGGAGGCTTATGTATGGGTCTCAGTTTTTTTCAAGAAGCAATAGTTTTGTACCCCCATGCAGCACAGTGATATTGTCCTGCTTTGTGGCAATGGGCTGGTCCCGATGCCAGGCAAGCATAAAAACCAACAGATTTAAGTTTTTTTTATAAGCTAAGGCGCCGCATTCATCAGTGTGTGCCCCTGAGGGTTAGGCCTGGCCATAATTTACAAAGGTCAAAATTAAAGACAGGCTGCCCGGTTCCTCTGTAGGTGGCAATTACAATTCCAGTGACGGTATTTCTCAGTTCCCAGGAATAGTTCCCTGGAGTATAGGGATTACATGGGTTAGACCAATAGGCCTTAAGCTGGGGAAAGTATGCAAGGAATATGATTAAGATACCAGGCCTGCAAAAGTCTTATCTTGAGAGGATCTTCTCCAGTAGCTGATTTGATGACTTTCCATGTTTCCCGGGGGGGCGGTGGTGACTGCCTTTACTTGTGAATGATGAATCCAGGGGCGGACACCGCTGACTTTGACAGCCGTAGGAGTAGTAAAGATTACTATGTGGGGCCCTTTCCACCTTGGGGTGAGAGCCTCAGCTTTGTGCCATTTTATCCAGACCTGGTCACCAGGCTGGAACGGTTGTGGATGTTCCAGAACCGATTTCCAGAAGGCTACCTGCACGGTTTCAGCTTTGAAGAGCCTGCAGTGACTGAAGCAAATTATGGTTAGACAGTTCTAGTGCTTTTTCCAGTCCAATTTTTGGAAGTAACAGCAGGGGCCTTCCAAACAGAATTTCGAAGGGGGTTAGACCTTTGATGTAGGGGGTACACCTGGCCCTTAAGAGGGCATAGGGAAGGAGTGTTACCCAACCTTCGCTGGTCTCCAGGGTTAATTTGGTTAAGGTCTGTTTAAGTGTCCGATTTATTTATTTTTTATTTTATTATTTTATTTTTTTGAGTTGGAGTCTCTGTCACCCAGACTGGAGTGCAGTGGCTGCTCCCAGTCACCGCAGCCTCGAACTGCTGGGCTCCAGTGATCCTTCTGCCTCAGCCTTCCAAGTAGCCGGAATTACAGGCATGTGCTACCACACCCGGCTGATTTTTTGATTTATTGTAGAGATGAGGTCTCACTGCCCAGGCGGGTCTTGAACCCGTGGGCTCAGGCAATCCACTCACCTCAGCCTCCCAAAGGTGCGGGATTACAGGCTGAGCCACCAAGCCCGGCTCGATTTATTTTTTTTTTACCTGTCCAGAACTCTGGGGATGATAAGCACAGTGTAAGTTCCAATGTATCCTCAAGGTTTTTGCAATACCTTTAGTAAGTTTAGAAATAAATGCTGGGCCATTATCTGAGCCTAATGAGATAGAAAGATCATATCTTGGTATGATGTTATTTAAGAGTTTCTTTACTGTTACAGAAGCAGTTTTAGTTTTTGTAGGAAATGCCTCGAACCATCCCAAGAAGGTGTCTACCAAGACCAATAGGTATTTATATTTATATTGCCCAGGTTTGACTTCTGTAAAGTTTATTTCCCAATGTCTCCAGGGGGTTAGTCCCCTATCTCGGACCCCTTGGGTGGATACACTGACCTTAGCATTATTAGTTTGCTGGCATGACATGCAGCCTTGAATGAGTTCCTGGGCGAGCTGGTTCAGATGAGGGAGATAGAATTCTTTCCTTACAAGTTTGGTTAGTTTTGTCCTTTTCAAATGAGTACCTTCGTGGAGCTGCCTTAGGATTTGTTGTCCCAGGACTCAAGGGAGGAAGGTTCTGCTGTCCTGAAGTTGAAGCCATCCTTCTGGGTTTGAGGTTGGCTGCAATTTTTGTGCAGCAAGGAGGTCCTCTTCTGTATATTTTGGTGGCTCACATAGAACCAGAGGAGGCAGCGCCAGCAGGCAGGTGGTTCTGTGGTAAGCAGTTTCTCTGGCTGCTTGATCTGCTTTTCTATGTCCTATTGCCTCTTTTGAGTTTTCTTTTTGGTGGCCCGGGCAATGGATGATGGCGACTTGTTTGGGGGCCCATATTGCTGCCAGGAGGTCTAAGACCTCTGCTTTATTTTTTATAGTTTTCCCCTCTGCGGTGAGCAGTCCCCGCTCCCTGTAAATTGTCCCATGAACGTGTGCAGTTGCAAATGCATACCTAGTGTCAATGTAGATGTTGACAACTTTTCCTTCACCTGCTTTTAGTGCCTCGGTTAGGGCAATCAGTTCTGCTTTTTGGGCTGATGTTCTCTGTGGAAGAGGCTCAGCCCAAATAGTTCCCTGTAGAGTGACCACCGCTGCCCCTGCATACCTTACCCCATTCTGGATGAAACTGCTGCCATCCAAGAAAAGCATTAGGTCCGGGTTTGTTCGCGGGACATCGGTTAGGTTCCAGCGCAGCTTCTGGAACTCAGTTGTTTTATAACAACAATGTGGTGGCCCTGTGGGACTTTCTTCCTGTAGCAAAGTTGCGGAGTTCAAGCTGGGGGTATGCTGGAACTTGATGCGGGGTTGATCTAAAAGCAGCGCTTGATAATGAGTTATTCGGGCGTTTGACATCCATTTGTCAGGGGCCCCTCAGAGTAAAGACTCCACTGCATGCATGGCCGTGACAGTCAGATTCTGCCCCAATGTTAGTTTGTCTGAGTCCTTTACTAACATGGCAATGGCTGCTATAACCCGCAAGCAGGGCGGCCAGCCCAAGGCTACCAGCTCTAGTTTTTTTGACAAGTAGGCGACTGGCCTGTTTCATGGGCTGAGCTTTTGGGTTAGGACACCCCGGGTGACACCTTGTTTTTCATTCACATAAAGGTGGAAAGGTTTTTTAATATCCAGCAAGGCCAGGGCCAGAGCTGAGACCAGGGCATTTTTAAGGGCTTGGAAAGCTTGTTTCCCTCCGGTGTCCATTTAAAATTAGCCTCTGGTCCCTTGGTTATTTCATAGAGGGGTTTGCAAGATTAGCAAACTTAGGGATCCATAGTCGGCAGTATCCTACAGCTCCTACAGCTCCTAAGAACCTGCCGGACCTGCCTTTTGCTTCCTGGGTCCAGAATGCCTGCTATAGCCCGAATGCGCTGGGCAGTTAAAGATTTTTTTGCTAGTGAAGTTTTTCGCCCGGTGCTGGTTCCTCTTTTCCCTGTTGGCTGCTTGGGTTTAATTTCCTGTAAAGCTGCTGCTACTACTTTGGCCATTTTTTTGGTTTGTTGGTTTTCAAGTGAGTTCTTGCTATTATAAACCTTCTGGGCTACCTCGGTTAATTCTGATAAATTTTTCCTTTAAATCCTTTAATCTTCTGCAATTTCTTTCTTATATCAGGGTCTGACTGGGAGACAAAGGCTATAACTAAAGCCCTCCCATTTTTCTGGAGCCTCTCGGTCTATGGGAGTATATGTCCAATAGGCCTCCATAAGGCATTCCAGAAAAGCCATGGAGATTCCTGTGGGCCCTGAGTTATCTCACTTACTTTAGACAAATTTGTAGGCCACCTGGCAGCAGCCTGGAAACCCCCAATTAGAGTCCGGCAATAAGTGGTGAGACACTCCCTACCGTGATCGGTGTTCAGGTTCCAATTAGGCCTTTCAGCGGGGAAGAAACGGTTCACACGGTCCTGCTCTGCTGGTTTGCTGTCCGGTCCCAGGACCAATTTCCTTGTCTCCTGACGGATTCGTTCTCTTTCCTCCACAGTAAAAAGGGTTTGGAGGAGCTGTTGGCAGTTATTCCAAGTGGGCTGGTGGGTGAAGAAAATAGTTTCTAAAAGGCTCCGAGGTTTTTCAGAGAATGCTGGATTTTGGTGCTTTTAATTTTAAAGATTACTAGTAGAGAAAGGGACATAAACCATAAAGGGCTG